GAGAGCATCATGAGGGCCAAGGGAGCAGTGTTAACCAAAGGTTTCTGTGAGAATTTGTGTTTTGAAAATATATAATTGGATAACAAAATTCTGGTTGATGATACTCTGCATTAGAAGAATTTCTTATCTATAATATTGAATTTCAGAGGACAGTGGCTGTTCCAGAGAGCAAGTATGGAGTGACAGTGTATTCTGGCTGAGTGCAAAGCTGTATGATAAGTTATTGAAATGGTATAGTAACAACACTCCATTAACCTCAGAACTTGATGCCTATGCACACTTCCTGCCATGCCTTGGGTCTAGAATGAAAAACGCAAAGCCCTCAGACTTCACAGATTTTCGAGCCGAGATGCTGCCTTTACTTCAGGACTGCAACTTCCAACTGGTCCTTCTTAGCAAGTCTAAGTTCTATCATCTTGGCACAATGGAGGAATATCTGATGCACTTCAACATCTTGGATGAGTTTTGCAGAGAATTAGGAATTGTGAAAAACACAAGTAACATTCCTAAACCCTTCATTGGAGGAGGTGAAAGCTCCAGTAAAGATGTCAGTATTCATAAAGAAATAACTGTTGAAACCTATTTTTCTGATGCAACTCTTGGGATAATAGTTCTACAGGACAAAGCTCAGGTTGTCATTGAAAACTGCCTTATAGATGTTCCATTACAAATTGAGGGGCACACAATCATTAGTAACTGCACCTTGAAAAAGTGCCCCAGTGTGAGATTTCTCCATGACAAGATCAGTTTATTCCAGGGTTTCTTGTATCATACTGTTCCTGTTACTTATGAGAACCAAAACCTATATGTAACCATTGCTTTTGATGTAGATTGCAACATGAAGAAAACATCAAAGAATTTGTCAGGGATTGAGCTGTATGGAACTACCCTCAGTGATGTGATTTGTTATCTTGGTTATAAAGCAGAAGATGTGATATCAAAAAATGCAGCAGTCATATCTCTTTGGACAGCAAAAATATTTGTGGCAAAACCTACAGCTGCTGAGAGCTTTTGGTGGACCCACTACAATGTGAATCTGGTGCTGAACAAGCTGCAAGGTACACCAAAGCAAACAGAATTAGATGGTGGTAACAGTCCGATGTTACTTAGTATGTATGATATTACTTTACATAAGAACCTAGAAATTTTATTGAAGGACCGAGAACATCTTAGCAGCCTTTTGAAAGAATAGATTTGTAGATGGCTAGACTTAGTTTTAATAGTTATGAACAGATACTGATTTATTTTGTGAGTTTATTGCATTTGTTGCAGTGTGAATGGTGGGAACAAGTAAATCTCAAGAGTGTTGTGAAAACTATAAAGGATTTTTAAATATTTTATTTCTTGATATATAATGTAAATGTATTGGTTGTATAACTTGACATTATGTTACTTCATTGAAAGACCAAGTTATTGTTTATTAAACTACAATAATGAACCAAATAGAATACTTGGTTTCACCACTATCTTTTCTTAAAATTATGTCAGTATCAAGAATGAAAGATAAACCTTTATATATGCAAATTTGCTAAAAAGGTGACATAAACAGATATAACAAACCTAATTATTTTCAGTGCTGTACAAGATGGTCACTGGTATATACAGAGGCATGGTAAGCCTAAATTAACAGCAAGACAATAGGCACAATATTTACTCACGTCCTCATCCTGCCTATTCTGTCTTTAAACGATCTGCCAAAGTTCCCATGACAAAACATTTTATATTAGCTACTTAGTATTGAAACACAACAAGTATTCCCCTCTTTAAAAAAGTGGGTGTACCGTCCATTTACATTTACAAGGTTCCCTTGCCCAGACCAGTTGGTTGTGTTTCAGGACAGGATATTCAACTTGGTGAATCTGTGCAAAGGCCACCATACCTAGGCTTGAGGTCAAGAGTTTGAAGTCTTCACTCTTCTCATACACTTTGTTTTTACTTAGCTTTTTCATATATAAAATCCAAAAAGTACATGTAACACAGAGAGATAAGGCAATCCATAGGATAATGAATAAAATCACCATAATATCTTAATCAGTCACTAGTGCATATCCTTTCTCAAGAGGACTCTAGTCCAGGCCCAATCCTGAGAGTGCTTGGGCAGGACCCCTCCAGTATGTCTTCCAGCATGGTTTCTGTCAGGATTCCAACTCACAGGAAGGTCTTTCCAGATGTTCTATAACATGACCAGAACCATCCTGTATTCCTATGGGGAGGAGACTTGTCACTGGCTGAGCCAAAGCCACATATTTGATCATGTGACCACAAGATTTTCCAGGTATGATCTCCCAATTGTGAAATTTTCTACTACAAATATATATTTCTTTGGGAGAGTAATAAAGGTATTCCCTTGTGATTGCAAAATCATTACCAATACCCCCCAATCCCTTGCTCGTTGTTGTCATGGTTTGGGCTTAGGAAACAGAGGCCCAGTGTAGGGGATCACCCCTACCTTGGTCCTCAGCCCTCGCCTTGACCAATTTTGCATGTTCTTTTCTTCTCCTTCTTTCCTTTTCCTTTTTTCGTCCCCTTGTTCTGTTCACTTATCCTAATTGTTTAACTCATTTTTGCCCTTTTTGCCACAATACTTTATCATTATGCTCCCTACTCCCTTAACACCTCCCCCTCTCTAACCTTTTCTGTACCATACTACCCTCTAGTACTGTTCAACCTGTAACTTTCCCTTATCATTAACACATTCCTAACCCTTTTTGCTACTCTACCATAGCACCTTATGATCTTTGATGTTATAGATTACTTCCTTACCTGGAGGCTTTGCCCTCAAGCCTCACACTATCACTATATGTTGAATATACCGCTAATGAACTTAGATGTTGACGTGGCAGGAAATTTTCAGTAAATAAATATATATTAATACTTGACGTCATCAGGGCCAACAATAAGGTTTTAGGTGATTAGTCTTTTGGTCCTGGTACTAAATGCATGTTTATCTGTAACTTTTAAAATATTCTGGCAATTCTCTAGTTTTATAATACACAAAAAGTTTCCAAATCTTCTGAAAGCACTCATTGTGGAATCCATAGTAATCACTACTTATCTCCTATTATACCACAACAGTTATCACAGTTATGCATTCTATGTCTTCCAACCACACCCATTTACTGTAATTTTCATCCTATAAAAGGTTAAGGGTGAAGCATATTTCTTATGGCTTTGGGTCCTTTTACTGTTATGCACTGAATATTTTCTTCAGATTTTTGAGCACTGACCAGGTCTTGGCTTGAATTAGTCTTTCCACATGAATCTTGAACTATTTCTTATCTTCTAATATTTGAATGCGGACTGCTATATCACTGACATTTCCAGTCACTCTGAAAGATCTGGTATGTAATGGTTGCAACTTGTTACTTACACTAGCTTTTGGCAATTCTTTTTGATAGATTAGGCCCCCTTACCCTTTGCCTATCTTGAGGCCTTCTCTTATCTTTTCCACTCTTCTGACACTTAAATACCTGCTTTCATGACCCATACCTCTTGAGAACAATTCATTGTTATAACAAGGGTATAATAGTAGCTTGCTATTTTTGTACTATTGAATGGTTTTCAAACCTCACCAACTTGGCCCACACCCTTCCATGATCAGATGTTGAAAGATGCACTGGTCTTCTGAAAGGCCTTTGGAACTACCACCCAGTAAACTAGCTGCCTGTATGAGTTTTTTTTTTAACTTTATATGATGATCCTTTAGGCACAACTTGACAGTCACTGATCCCTAAATGTGATTGTAGAACCTCTGGCAAAATGTGTTTTTAAAGAACTGAAGAGATGATCATTCCAGGACTGACTAACTTTTCTGACCGTCATTGACCCTACCCTTTGGTATGAGTCTGTAGAATTATCTGAAAAAACAGCAGACTAGTCATCTACCAGTTAAGATTTGTTGGCCACTGTGCACAACTGCCGTGGCGGCTAAGTCATCTAATGGCTGATCCGCTGTCCTTACCTGAGACAAGTATTGGTTATGCCATTTTCCTCTTCAGAGACATTGTCTTCTGTAATGTCAAAATAAGTTACAATCTTAAGCCACCTATTAACCTGTCAGAACCTTCTATGTTGTCAAAGAATAACATATATAACATCCCATTAGTATCCTTTTGCTACAAGGCACCATATATGGCTGTTTTGCCTGCATCATCTTTGTGTTCAAGATTTAGAACACTTTCATATGTATTACCAAAAGATTTTTTTTTACTAAATATGTCCAATATATATATATATATATATATATATATATATATATATATATATATATATATATATATATAGATAGATAGATAGATAGATAGATAGATAGATAGATAGATAGACATATTATATCTCTTCTAGAATAATCTTCCTTGGTTGTGAATTTTTAAAATTTAACATGTATGCTCTATAATCGTGTGTGTTTAGTTTGTTTATATATTCAAAGAAATCAAAACAGAACCAATAAAATTATTTTACAACACATCAAATATTGTTCAAAACTGACTTTGTATATCCTTAATTACAGCGAAACAATCACATCCAGCCCAAACTTCTTTTTATATACCTTCTTAACCATATTCGCACTTTTCTATCATTTTGGCATAATATATTTGAGGTTTCTGTGTCCATCACTTGCAAGGTGAATAAAATGTAGGATGTTCATATAAACTTAAACATATTATTGTGGAAAGTTTCTTTTTGCAACAGTATCTATGCCAATTTCTATTTAAAAAGTATATGCATGAGGGTGTTCTTCTGGATCCTTGTAAACATTCCGCGCTACCATGGAAGACGCCTTACTCCTTTGCTCCTGTTTTGTGGAGGACTCACTCTCACTCTCACTCACTCACTCACTCACTCTCTCTCTCTCTCTCTCTCTCTCTCTCTCTCTCTCTCTCTCTCTCTCACTCTCTCTCTCTCTCTCTCTCTCTCTCTCTCTCTATATATATATATATATATATATATATATATATATATGTATGTATGTATGCATGTATGTATGTATACATACATATATTTTTTCAACAGCCATCCATTCCATTGCAGGACATAGGCCTCTTTCATTTCACTATAGAAAGGTTATTTGGCAGTACCATCCTTGCCTGATTGGATGCCATTCCCAATAAATCGCGGTTCGGCGCGCTAACACATGCCACAGCAATGACCTCCCCTAGACATCTGCGTTTGACATTTGTCGTTTTCTCGCCGTGAGATCGGTCTCAAGACAGCACATCGATATTTGGAAATTGGTTACAGCGATTCCAGTACATCGATTCTTCGTAGATACTTTAAGCGATATCAGTACCGACATGTGTATCACCAATACTTTATGGTAAAAAAAAAAAAAAAAAAAAAAAAAAAAAAAAAAAATATATATATATATATATATATATATATATATAATATATATATATATATATATATATATATATATATATATATATATATATGTAAATATATATTATAAAAATATAAAATCAGAGCAGGTCACATACGGGTAGATAGATGGAGAGAGTGAATGCATCGATGTATCGATTTTTTCGATGCATTTTGAGAAAAGAACATCTTACAATACCGATAAAACCATACTGCCATTAAAGCCCTCCATCTCCCCGGGGTCGAGGACGTGGTGGAGGTGAGATTAGACCCTGTGCGGCTTAGTCTGTCTGCCTCTCTGTCTCTCCGTCGGTTCATACGTCTCGGTTTCATGCTTCGGTTCCCCTCGAGGCAGGTGCTTGCTTCCGCCGGCCTGAAAGCAGTGCGATCACCTGCGTCTGCTCAAGGAGAGACTTACTACAGGAAGGGAGCTGTTGGAGCCTGAGGGATCAAGCGCTGACTTCCATTCTATATTGTTTACACTTTGCATATTTACTTAATTCTCAATTATATGTGTTTAAAATATGTATTTTTAACAACCTTTATACCTAAGCTTTTCTACATAAACCCATGAACCTTCCACGTGAATTTTTCTAGAGATTTAATTCCATGGCAGAGGAAGAAAAAAATGTAGATATTTATGTGAGAATAGATACTATAAATTACTCCGAATCGCCCTACAATGTGTCTTATTCCACGGCATGAAAATGAAAGGAGTAAATATCCACTATTAATGGAAAAGAAAAAGGAATACATATCTCTCATCAAATGCAAATATGTCGTTTCAAGCATTTTCGTTCCTCGTGTTCTTACGTATATTTGACAATAGTGCAAAACAAAAGAGGTCTAGAAAATGGGCTGCATAAAAAAATCAATATTAGAAAAAAATAAAAATTGATAAAATAAAAAAAATGAAAAAATCAATAAAAAAAAAAAAATCATATTTTTGCTGTTGGAAGAGGGATACATGCTAACGGTAATAATATCCTCAATAATAGTGTTTATATTAATGATAGTTATAATAAAGATAATGTTAATGATGATGATAATGATTATTATTTTCATTATAATTGTTATTATTATTATTATCATTATTATTATTGTCATTGATACTATTATCATTACCGTTATCAAAATTAGCAAAAATATTATTCGTATCATTAAGTAATCTTATTGTTATTGTTGATACTCATTATCATTATTATTAATATAATCATTACTGTTAATATTTTTTTGTTTTCGTTATTGCTATCATTATGATCATCATGATCACAACCATCATTATATTAGAATCAGCTTAATAAAAGATAAAAGATATTCATTATGGTTCATATATTTGTATATATATATTTTTCAAGTAGTTAGTTAATCCCACTGTAGGCTTATAGACATCGCCATAGTTACCACAGCTGATAAGTTATCACACCTCAAGTACTTCCCTCTGACTGATGCTATGAAACCACAGAACATGTGATGAGATAACAAGAATATGCATAGTGGAACAAAGAATTACTCACAGACATGTATTCAAATACCCCCGGGTCAATGAGTCCCAAATAACAAATTTATATACAGCATATATTTGGCGTTGAGAACGGGAGAGGCGCCCTCTAAAATCAAGTTTTGAGATAAATGGGTTTAGCGTTTCGTTTCCACCCTGGCCACGAGTTTTATAACCTTTATCCTCAACCAGTGATCGCCATTTCTTGCCTTAGAAAACAGGTGGGCAATAATGACATTTTTGTTGAGGAAGTGAGTTCGCCCATCCATTTTCAATGCCTCACATATATATGTGTGTGTGTATGCTTTTATATATATATATATATATATATATATATATATATATATATATATATATATATACATATATATATATATATATATATATATATATATATATATATCTATATCTATATCTATATATATATATGTATATATATATATATATATATATATATATATATATATATATATATATATATATATATATATGCGTATATATATGTATGTATATATAAAGTATATATATATATATATATATATATATATATATATATATATATATATATATATATACATATATAAGTGTGTATATATATGCATATACAAATACATATATATATATATATATATATATATATATATATATATATATATATATATATATATATATATAAGTGTGTATATATATGCACATACAAATACATATATATATATATATATATATATATATATATATATATATATATATATATATATATATAGAGAGAGAGAGAGAGAGAGAGAGAGAGAGAGAGAGAGAGAGAGAGAGAGAGAGAGAGAGAGACAGAGACAGAGACAAAGAGACCGAGGCGGATACAGAGAGAGAGAGAGAGAGAGAGAGAGAGAGAGAGAGAGACAGAGAGAGCGAGAGAGAGAGAGAGAGAGAGAGAGAGCGAGCGAGCGAGCGAGCGAGAGAGAGAGAGAGAGAGAGAGAGAGAGAGAGAGAGAGAGGGAGAGAAAATGGAAGTAAGAAAAGAGGGAGAGAGTCTTTCACACACTCCTAGACTCACACATACACTCGTCTATCTATCTGTTTTTTTTTTGTCTGTCTAGATATATATTCAGAGAAATTCAGATATTCAACATTCAGAGTTATTACTCTCACACACACATCATATATATATATATATATATATATATATATATATATATATATATATATATATATATATATAATATATATATATGTATATATTATAATATATATATATATATATATATATATATATACATATATATATATATATATATATATATATATATATATATATATATATATATATATATGTATATATACACATATATATATCGTATGTGTAAAATTAAGAAAAAAAGTAAGGCACACAAACACCAGTGAAACGCCCGCAATGCCTTTTACATCAGTGAGATAATTTTTCCCATCACGATAAACTCTTTCTTCTTGAATTGTCCTTTGTGCACGTCGCGCCTATTGTTCCCATGATAAATGCTTAGACTTCAGTCCCCGTGAGCTTGGCTGTGTGATCACTTGACGCATAATATGTAAAAGAAAAAATACGTGAGTAAAGAAAATGAATTATTTCAGGTTTTAGGCGAGAGTCGTGATTGGAAGTGTCAGGAATAAGAGTTTTCCCGCAGAACCAAAAATGAATTTCCGATTTTGTTTGTTTTTTCTTGTTTAACGACCGTTCTCGGAAGCAGTATAAAGCTGTTAATGATCTGAATTTCGGGGAGTAAATGCCCCTACGATTCATGTGGTGCTTCCGGGGTTATTATAATGGTGTTCATTTTAACGCCACTAATGTTGTTCGCGCCATGTTTTTTTTCTGTTTGTGTTAGAGCTATTCGAGTGGACTTAACGTAGCTTAATGTATGACATGTAAGGCTTTAGAAAATTAACATATTCAGCAGTTGTAGGCTTTAAGCAAAATGTGAATAAGGACACAATCTTAAATATCATACATCGTAAATAAAACTGTAATGTTTATATTATTTATATACATTATTTCAAGTTGCATTGAGAGACTGTAGCCATTATTTTTAAAACGTAGTAGTAGTATCAGTGGTAGTAGCAGTAGGAGTACTAGTCGTAGTACTGATAATGATGATGACGAGGATACCACTACTACTACTAACGGTGATAATCATAATATTTATTGATAATGACGATGGTAATGATTACGATGATGGTGATAGTAACGATTTTATATGATTGACGATGAAGATGATGGTAATGATAATAATTACAAGAGTAATGATGACAATAAGGATTATGATAGTAATAACAATGGTTATGATAATCATATCAATATTGATTAGAAACTGCTTCCTAAAATCCACCCTTGCCTCGCCACGTACAACCTGCTTGCTTTCTTTCCCAGCTTCAAGGATTCCAACCAACTCCTTAATACACTCCAGACATGGCCGGGTACATTCAGTACCTAAAGACTGCTTCGGGGATCCTTAAGATAGCAGAGACTGTGAGTTCGAAGCTGTTGTTTACAGTCTTGGCATGATGTTTAAGTGGAGAGTACAGGTTTGGGTGAGGGTATGTGATTCCTCTCTCTCTCTCTCTCTCTCTCTCTCTCTCTCTCTCTCTCTCTCTCTCTCTCTCTCTCTCTCTCTCTCTCTCTCACTCCGCCTCGGTCTCTCTGTCTCTGTCTCTCTCTTTCTCTGCCTCTCTCTCTCTCTCACTCCGCCTCGGTCTCTCTGTCTCTGTCTCTCTCTTTCTCTGCCTCTCTCTCTCTCTCTCTCTCTCTCTCTCTCTCTTTCTCTGCCTCTCTCTCTCTCTCTCTCTCTCTTTCTCTGCCTCTCTCTCTCTCTCTCTCTCTCTCTCTCTCTCTCTCTCTCTCTCTCTCTCTCTCTCTCTCTCTCTCTCTCTCTCTCTCTCTCTCTTTCTCTATGTGTGTGTGTGTGTGTGTGTATGTGTCTGTCTGTCTCCTTTTCTTTTTCCTCTCCACTTTTCCTTTCTTTCCCTCCCTCCCTCACCTTTCTCTTCCCTCCTCTCTCCTCCTCTCTCTCCTCCCTTCCCCTCTCTCTCCCTGTCCTTCCCCTCTCTCCCTTCCCTTCCTCTCTCTTCCTGTTCGTCCTCTCTCCTCCTGTTCTTCCTCTCTCACTCTCTCCCACTTCCTCCCTACTTGTTTTTTTATTTTTTTTTTATTCCCCTCCCTACCTCCCGCTCACTCTCTTCTTCTCTCCCCCCCTCCTCTCCGTCCCACAGGTGACAGTGGCCATCACCTTTGGCCTCTTCAGGGGAATTCCTTTGACCTTTGGCGACACGCATCACTTCGCCGGCAACTTAGGAACCGATACGGACTTTTTTGCGGGCGGGGTCATGGTGACTGCGCTGATTGTGACTCCTTTGTTCTTCGTGTTTTATCTCCTGGGGCGGAAAGAGATCAAAAAGACAGGGATGGTAAGTATATTGAGCATGTTCTCTTTTTTTTTCTCTCGTTTGATTGTTGGTATATGCGTATGGTTTTATATGTGGAAATGGATGTAGATTTCAATTTTTCTACGGAGGGTAGTTTGAAGTTACTTAAAAAAGAATAACGTTGAAATATTAAATTCTCATTTAATGTCATTCACCTGCAAAAACAAAACAAAACAGTCATTGAAAACGGACTTTTAAAGATTATATACCCCAATGAGTCTCTTAATGAAAGGTTTATTGTATTTTTTTCCTCCATAACTACTTTCTCTAATGTTACAAAGAATGAAATTAACTCATTCCCGACGGAGGAAAACAATAAAAATTGGGGAAAATGCTGTGCTAATTTCTTTATTATATATATATTTTTTGAAATGTCTCTACACATAGATGGCTCTGCCTTACCTGATTTCCCCCTTCCTTGAGTAGATGGTGACTCTCGCCCGTTCGCCAATCACCGTCGAAACAGCCCGACGGTGATTGGCTGGCGGGCGCGAGAGAGAAGAATTATAATGATAAGAATAGATAAAGATAAAAATAAGCATAACAGTAATAATAGATAATATTAACCATAACAATGATGATGATAACAACAATAACAACAATAAAATACTGATGACGTTGAAAATGATAACAATAATAATAACAACAATGATAACAGCAACAATAATAATAATAGTAATAATAACAATAGTTATATCAATAATAATAGTACTAATAAGACATTGATAATAATGATGATAAAACAATAATAACAATGATAAAAAAACACCTAAGCTCTCCAGAAGATGCAACAACCTCATCTCTCCTTTTAGGAAATCGTCCTTAACTTCATCCTCAGCGTCTTCCTCTTCATATCCGGTTCCCTGTGTCTGGCCTTTTATAACTCGGCTCCCTTACCTAGCCCTTGGAACAGCAGAGACAGGGAAGGCGTTACGATGGGCGTCTTCTGCTACATCTCCGCCAGTTTCTATTTGGCAGACACCCTCGTTGCTCTCAAGAACTTTTGTCGAAAAGAAACGGAAACGGATGCATGACGATGTGATGGTTATGAGAAAACGGGAATGATGCGGAAATAAAGAGAAAACGGGAAGGATGCGGAAATAAATAGAAAACGGGAAGGATGCGGAAATGAAGAGAAAACGGTAATGATGTGGAAATAAAGAGAAAACGGGAATGATGCGGAAATAAAGAGAAAACGGGAATGATGCGGAAATGTAGAGAAAACGGAGAAAATGTGTAGATAAAGAGAAAACTGATGTGATGTTTCAACAACTGAAGGGTAGACTTAATAAAGATTTATTTATATTTTTTCTCATCCTTAGGCTGTTTTCATCTTTCCGTCCTGTTCATCTTAATGTAGTTTTCATCTTTTTTATCTTTCATTATCAAGGTATTGTCTACTGTACCACTATATATTCTATAAGGATATGTAACTGTAACGATAATGGTGACACTTGTACTAAATAGTAATGATAACAAGAACTGAGAACATAAAAATCATAATCGTGAAATTATGAATTAACAATAATAATATAAAGTATACAAAAGGATACCGTCGACTTTAAGAAAACCTAAAATCTTATAGACTTGTAGGTAATCAAAAACTAATTAATTCTAATTGATATTAGAATTAATCTGCAAAAGCACCCCGATAGAAAGAAAATGCCGCTCGAAACTCTCCCCTCGTGTCGTCAGCCAAACGTTTTAATACTTTGGTTTTGACTCTCTCTCCCTCCCTCACTTATTTTTTACTTTTTTTCACTAAATACGCATTTATCAAAAAAAAAAAAAAAAAAAAAAAAAAAAAAAAATCCTCAAATTCCTCTCTCTCTCTCTCTCTCTCTCTCTCTCTCTCTCTCTCTCTCTCTCTCTCTCTCTCTCTCTCTCTCTCTCTCTCTCTCTCTCTCTTTCAACCTTGCAACCTTTTTCCTTCTCTCTCTCTATCAAGCGCACACACACTCTCTCTCTCTCTCTATCAAGCGCACTCTTTCTCTCTCTCTCTCTCTCTCTCTCTCTCTCTCTCTCTCTCTCTCTCTCTCTCTCTCTCTCTCTCTCTCTCTCTCTCGTGTTCCCTGTCACCCATTCCTTTTTTCCATAAGAGAAAGCCAATTTGCATCTCGAAATGTACAAATTATTGTAATGGATGAGGTAATCGGGTAGGAAATGCTGTGATTGAGTAGGGTTGAGTAGGGAGATCTGTTTAGGGAAATAGGGAAATTGAAGGGAAAGAAACGCCAGCTAGAGAAATATTACGATGATGATGATGATGATGGTAAGGGGAGACAAAAGAAGAAAAGAGAAAGATTTTGCAGTAATTTCTCCCTAAAAATCGAGTGGAATCTTGAGGAATTATATGTAAATGTGATACAAAAAGTAAGGACTAAAAGGAGACATACTTCTAGCTACATTAACCATTATGGGAGTCGGTGAAAACAGTTTTTGCACGGCAGGCAGGATGCTGTATATTGATGGCAGATTATCTTACAGTAAATATGAAGTGATTTCACCGAAAATCGAAAGGATCTTCACGGAAATAAAAGGTAATTTAACCCCATACAATATACGCAATCGGGTGGTGATTTTGACTTCACATCAAGGATACGATCCATGCGGGATATCTGACGCAAATCAAAACAACTGCTTTAGTAAACTAAGGTCAGACGCCTCCCCCCCCCCCCCAACTTCACCCGGTAGCCAGAGAAGGAGAGAGCAGGTCAGTACACGTTTTTCTCTTGAGAATTTACATAAGGTATATCATAAAATCGCCCACCTTCACCACTGCACCTCCTGTACAGCCAAATAAATAAAAAGATCACATGGCGGTTGTGGTTATTAGGCTCCCAGTTAGGGTCTGTAAAGTTAAAGATGTAACTATCGTTGTTATGTTATTCATAACCAAATTATTAAATAGTGATGATGGTGGTAACGATGACGATGATGGAGATGGAGATGAAGATGAAGATGATGATAATAATAATGATGATAGTGATAGTGGTAATGGCAGCATGAACAGTGATAATGTCATAGTGACAGTGACGTAAAATAATAAAACTGAAAATTATATCATAATGTTAACACCAGTAACAGTAATGTATGTGTACACCTGAACATACGAAATACGGTAAGGCTTACACACTGAAGCACAAAGCTACATCACCGTGAGTGTCGATAAATTCTTTAGAGAAAAGTAAAAGTCAGAAACACCCAAACATATAAGATCACCTCCATATATTTTTTTTCTGACTGAAAGAAAATGTCCATGTGCAAAGTTGACAATGGACTAACTACTAATAAACCCATGATAAACAGAATAAAGGAAAATAATTTGTTCATATTTAAGGTCTTTCGAGGTTAATTAGCTATGGGGTGAGAGCTAGATGAAGGGGAGATAACGGATTGTTCGAACCAAAAAAAAAAAAAGATTTGTTTTTCTTTGTTCTTGTGAATGTCTGCAGATAAATCTTCTTATCGCCAAGTGCTACGATGACGGAGAAGTTATCTTTTACGATTTATCTTGCTAAAAACTGAATGCAGATAAAATGATTTCCACATGATTCTTAATTCTGGTTCGTACCAAAGAGAGACAGGACAATCGTGGAACTCTTAAATTCCTGGATATAGCGTTAGGACCCATTTTTTTTTTCTTTTTTTTTCTTTTTACACAGGAAGAGTAGAGATTCCCTAGCTTATTGAAACATTATATTTTTGACTCGCTGTGAAAATTCGAAAGATGGCCTGCATTTTCAGACATTCAGAATAAAGTAGACATATAATCCTATTGCTAATTTGTTTTATTATATAATTAGTCGAACAAGTAATCATTTCGATTGCTTGCTCGTCTGATGAGGATTTCGTAACGAGTTCGAAATTGATTCAGTTTAATTTCTTTTTGTGTCTGTTTCCTTAATATATATATATATATATATATATATATATATATATATATATATATATATATATATATATATATGTGTGTGTGTGTGTGTGTGTGTATGTGTGTGTGTGTGTGTGTGTGTGTGTGTGTGTGTGTGTGTGTGTGTGTATTTATGTATACATATACATAAATACATATGTGCACATATACATAAATACAAACATATACATATTTCCGTGGCAAATAACACATCTGGAAGAAAACCCACCTCTCACGGCAGATGGCGTCGGTCGCACACTGCTATCACACCACGACAGCGATTTTATGTCACCGCCCTTGGGAAAGCGCTTGTACATGGCCCCTCAGACAGCGAAGGGCCGTTTGCACGAGAGGACCCCAGACATCACACGCCATGAAGCTCTGTCGTTTGAGGCTCTTGAGCTTACTTGTGACTTGGCTGACCTGTGCGTCTGCGGGTCGTTACGATGGGTGAGTTGGAGGCCATCTGTGTTAGAGTAGGTGTATGTACAAAGTATATATTTATGTCTATATTTTTATATCTATTTATCTCTCTGTATATATCCATTTATTTATCTATCTATCTCTTTCTATCCATCTGTCTGCCTATATATACACACACTCACTCACATACACACTTTTATATATATACACACACACACATATATATATATATATATATATATATATATATATATATATATATATATATATATATATATATATATATCTGTGTGTGTATGTGTGCTTATATATACATATATATAGGTGGATAGAGAGATAAATAGATAGATATATACATGTATATACATATATATGAATATGCATGTATACACTTATATACATATACGTTTATACATATCGATCTTTCTCTCTCTATGTAGATATATACATATATATATACACACATACATATATATGTATGTATATATATACATATTACAGCCATTCATTCCACTGCAAGACACTGGCCTCTCTCAATTCTCTATTGAGAGGTTATATGGCAGTGTCACCCTTACCTGATTGGATGCCCTTCCTAATCAACCGCGGTTTGGCGCGCTAACACTTGTTCGACGGCGGGGACTTCCCCTACGACAACTGCGTTTGACTTCTCAAGGCGATATGTCGTTTTTTTCGGGCTCGAGCCAGTAGTCAGAGAGCAGTCATATATATTTTACGACCGCCGCGACGGGGAAATGAACTTGTGACCGAGGATCAGAGTCCAGTGCTCTAACCACTGGGCCATCACGGCAGCACATATATACACACATATATGATTCAGGAGAAACTGCAACAGTGAAACTAGCCAATCTATTTAACAAATGCCTTCTCAACGAAAAAACTCCGAAAGCCTGTAAAAATGCAACAATTGTTTTGATACATAAAAATGGGATAGGAAGGATCTAAAAAACCACCGACCCATAAGCCTCCTTTCAGTTACTTACAAAAGTCATCACAACTCACATCTGTGACAGTCTGGATTCTAACCAGCCAAGAGAACAGTCACACTTCCGCAGTGGATTCTCTACAACAGAGCATGCTCACCCAAATAAGAGGAAAAAATAAAAGAATATAGGAAACCCCTGTGTATGGCATTCATCGATTACGAAAAGGCATTTGACACTGTACAGATACCAGCAGTACTAGAAGCTATTCAGAGACAGGGAGTAGAGGAGGTATACTGTAAAATATTGGAAGAGATACACCAAGATGGGACAGCAACCATCAAGCTCCACATGGAAACCGATAAAACACTAAATAAAAGTGTTACACAGACCGATACTATCTCACCAAAACTGTTTACAGCTTGCCTTGAGGAGATATTCAAGGAGCTAGAATGGAACAGAAAGGGTATCAAAATAGGAAACGAATACCTAAACAATCTAAGATTTGTAGGTGATATTGTTCTCTTCAGTGAATCTGCAAATGAAATGCAGCAACTAATAAACGATCTGAATAAAGTCAGAAAGTAAGACTTAGGATGAACAAAAAAAAACAAACTAAGATTATGTTAAACTAGAAAAGCACTCAGAGAGTGCAGACCTCCGCCAAGGTGCGTATATAATGTACTAACACCGCTGCTGCGTCCAGACGGTAATTCGGAATGTCAGTGAAATGTGGCAGACGTTTACCGTAGATTTGTGTACCGAACTTGTTTATTGATTAAATAATGATAATAATAATAATAACCAGACGGTAATTCGGAATGTCACCAAAATTTAGTCAGTTCTAAGTTAGTCCCTTTCTGACTTGTCCCCCAAAATTCGATGAAATCCGGCCAACACTTTTTGAGCTAGGCTGCTAACAAACAAACCAACGCCGTCAAAAACATAACCTCCTTGGCGGAGGTAATAATAGAGTTCGATTCGAACAGACACATGTACAAGGCGAAGCGCTAGAGGTAGTTGTAATATGTGTGGAGGCT